TCCTGAGAGGCCAGGACACGCCGCGAGGTGGGGTGGTAGAACTGCCAACCAGGGGCGTCCGGGACAAAGCCAAGGAAGACGCAGGGGACAGCGCGACGGGAGAGCTTGTCCGCGGACGTGTCGCGGACAAAAGCTCGGGATCCCCAGACCCGAAAACGCGACGCATCGCCAGCCTCTCCCGTCCAACGCAGTGTCGGAGAAGTCTCGGGCAAGGAGACACGGGGCCAGAGGTTGAGCTGATGCGCAGCGTATCGGACTGCAAACGGCCACAGAAAGTGGGGGGCAGCCGCATGAACCAAGGAGGTACGAGCGACCTCCATGACCAAGCCAATGCGGCGCTCAGCAACCCCATTCTGCTGTGGAGAGGCCGGAAGCGTGAACGACTGCTCAATGCCCTCCTGCTGACAGAAGGCCTCCAAGAGGCCAGAGGAAAACTCTCCACCTCTGTCAGAGTGCAGACGCAGGACAGGGAAGTCGGAGCGGAAACGCTCACTAAGCTGGAGACGAGATCTGCGGATCCAAGGGATCAAGACATCAGGGACGTCACCCTTCGTGCGCAAGGGGAAGACCGTGGTGTAGCGCGAGAAGTCGTCAACAACAATCAGGAAGTACCTCTCCTGACCCTGACCACGGACGCGGGCTGGGCCCCACACGTCCATGTGGAGTGTCTGCAAAGGAGCAGTCGTCGGGGGAAAGGAGGAGGAGTGAGGAGCGGCGCGCTGCCGCCCCTCGACACAGGGAAGACAGGGAGGAGCAGGTGAGTCGGGAAGGGGAGGGAGCACCCTGGGAAGACCAGCAACAAGGTCCCGTTTGTGCATGGCCCGAAGGCGCTGCACAGACGGGTGACCAAGGCGGTGGTGCCAAAGGACAGTCTCATGCGCCAGAGAGCGACACGAGCAGGGGGCGGACGGCGGACCTGACGCAGACGCAGACGTAGACGCAGACGCAGCTACCTGAGGGGACTCAGTGGTCAGTGTGTACAGGTCCGACCCCGGCTCTCGAGTGAAAGTAGCCAGGTGGCGACCCGTCCGAGCACACGTGCAGTGTGTCACGCGCTCGTAGGCAGGGGTGAACTGGTGAACACCCGAGTCCTGGAGCGCACAACCCGCCACCAAGTTCGTAGAGAACGAGGGGAGGTAGAGACCGGAAAGCGTGCCGGACGGGACCGCAGGACAAGGAAGGACAGTGGAGGAGGTCGCAATGACCGGACCCCCAGAGGGGTCAGCAAGGGAGACAGCAACTGGCCGAGCGAGTGGCTCAAGGACAGTGCGGTCACGAAAGAAGGAGCGAGAAGCACCTGAGTCCAGGGTGAAGGTGTGCAGTGCTGCAGTCGACTCAGTACCAGGGGGCACAGACGCACTAGCACCTAGGGCAGCAGCCTCACCATCACCTGGGGTAGCAGACACGCGAGCACCTGGAGCAGCAGACGCACTAGCACCTAGAGCAGTAGGCTCACCAGCACCTGGAGTAGCAGACACGCGAGTACCGGGAGTGGTAGCCTCACCTGCACCGAGGGCAACAGACGTACTGGCACCGAGAGCGGCTGCCTCACTCACAGAGCGACTACCACTACGGCCACCCCGACTGCTCAAACCGGCGTACCACTCACGAGCCTGCTGGAGCAGAAGAGGGCACGGCTGCTGCACCTGTCCACTACCTGAGGCTCCCGAACGACGGACGCCAGAGCGACTACCACTACGGCCACCCCGACTGCTCAAACCGGCGTACCACTCACGAGCCTGCTGGACCAGAAGAGGGCACGGCTGCTGCACCTGTCCACTACCAGGGGCTCCCGAACGACGCACGCCAGAGCGACTACCACGCCGGCCACCCCGACTGCCCAAACCGGCGTACCACTCACGAGCCTGCTGGAGCTGCATCTGGCCACGTCAGGAGCAGCAGCAGTAGTGGCAGCAACAGCAGGAGCAGTAAAGGCAGTAGCAGCAGCAGTAACGGTAGCAGTGCTAGCACGGCAAAGCTCACCAGTGGTTGGTGCGGCGGGCGCAAGACAGTGGCGACAGCGTGGCCGCTGCAACAGCGGGGCGGGGCCAGGTCGTAGCAGGGAGCTCCGCGGCAGCTGCTGCAGGGTCGGCGGCGGCCGCTGCTGTAGGCTCGGCGGCGGCAGCTGCTGCAGGTCGAGCGGCGGCTGCTGCTGCAGGGTCGGCGGCGGCCGCTGCTGTAGGCTCGGCGGCGGCTGCTGCTGCAGGGTCGGTGGCGGCTGCAGCTGCAGGCGCGGCGGCGGCAGCTGCTGCAGGTCGAGTGGCGGCTGCTGCTGCAGGCTCGGCTGCTGCAGCTGCTGCAGGTCGAGCGGCGGCTGCTGCTGCAAGCTCGGCGGCGGCAGCTGCTGCAGGTCGAGCGGCGGCTGCTGCTGCAGGCTCGGCGGCGGCAGCTGCTGCAGGTCGAGCGGCGGCTGCTGCTGCAGGGTCGGCGGCGGCCGCTGCTGTAGGCTCGGCGGCGGCTGCTGCTGCAGGGTCGGCGGCGGCTGCTGCTGCAGGCTCGGCTGCTGCAGCTGCTGCAGGTCGAGCGGCGGCTGCTGCTGCAGGCTCGGCGGCGGCAGCTGCTGCAGGTCGGCGGCGGCTGCTGCTGCAGGCTCGGCGGCGGCAGCTGCTGCAGGTCGGCGGCGGCTGCTGCTGCAGGTTCGGTGGCGGCAGCTGCTGCAGACGAAGTCGAAGCCGCGAAGGGGCGGCTGAGGGATCGCGCGCGGGCGGCTAGCGGGTCACGCGCGCGAAGAATCGGCCGCGCGCGGGCGGCTAGCGAGGCGCGCGCGCGAAAAATCGGCCGCGCACGGGCGGCTAGCGAGTCGCACGCGTAAAAAAAAAAAAAAAAAAAAAAAAAAAAAACGAGCCGCGCGCGGGTGGCTAGCGGGCTGCGTGCGCGCGGTAGGTAGAGGCGCACGAGGGCGCGCGGTAGGTAGAGGCGCACGAGGGCGCTAAGGCGCACGAGGGCGCGCGGTAGGTAGGGGCGCACGAGGGCGCGAAGGCGCACGAGGGCGCTCGGTAGTGAGAGGCGCACGAGGGCGCACGAGGGCGCACGATAGGTAGGTAGGTAGGTAGGTAGCGGTGGGCCCTAGGAGCGGTCCTAGCAAAGGACCTGCTCTGATACCATGTCAGAATGAACAGGCAGGAATGAGGAACTAGAAAGGATGGTGAGTACAAATATGAAACCCTAATGTTGTGACCCCCCTATAGGCTAACCCACTACAGCCTACACAAATACAACATGTATAATGTTTGACAGGAACTGCTCCCGCAGCATCTCCAAGAAGCGCTTGGTGGGAGCTCTCTCTCTCGGCCGAGCCTGGGCCGCCCAATCCAGCAATTCGCGTTGGCAGATGCGATAGTACGTCTCGGCTTCTCCCGTCAGGGTGTTTGCCAAACCCCAGAAGAACTCATCCGCGTCCAGCCGGTCGCGTTCCCATCGAGCTCGTAGGTTCTCCAACTGCATAAGGTAATTTTTCAGCGACGGTCCTCGTCGGACTTCTCCCGAAAAGCGCTCCGGCACCTCCACCTTTGGGAGCATGGTGTAGCGCCATCGCGTTGACGCCGCGTCATCCTCAAAGCCCTGCCACGACGCGCTACGCCGATACGGCCTCTCGCCTTCCCTTCCTGCTTGCGTTGCCGCCACAGCTTCTCCAAGGGACGGCTTTTCCTTTTCATCCTTAATTCCTTCCTTATTCGCGAGACGCTGCTCACCGCGCTCCTCGCTTGAGCCCGTGGCTCCGCCCGTCCTTCGGTCACCCTCTCATTCCGCGCCGTGCGCGTCCATCACCGTTCGAGGCTCCCGCTCGTTCCCTCCTTCACCCTCCATCATCTCGCCTTCTCTCGTCAGATCCTTTGCAGCGAAATCTAAGCCTGACCGTGTGGGCATGCCCGAATGCTTGTACGTGATAAGCTCTGGCTCCTTCACATAATACCATCGACCAGATCTGCCTATTACATCCCTGCTTGTATTATCTCCTTCTACTCACTATTTGCTTCGTCGGGTGCAAGAAATTCGTGTTACAAAGGAAACATACAAGCATTGAGGCTAGCTCCTCAAGGATCCTCCTATTCTACCAGCTCCGTCTCTGCCGTGCGCCTATCCTTCCCTAGTCTCCTCGCTAGCTGCTATTGCGGCCTTTGAGAAGACAAACATCCTTACTGCCTGCCACCTCTATTCCCCGCCTCTAACTACTTTGCCTCCAGCAGACACTTCCCAGATCCAGCTGGCTCCTGGGAGCTTGCCTGCGCACACATAGAAAACAAACACACATGCAAGCACACACCCATCTAAGTGCCGGTGGCAACCTTCCTGCCTCTGCTGCCGCTGCCTTGCGCTGTCATCCCCACTGGCCCTCCCCTTCCTTTTACGTAAGTGCCGCCTCTCACCGCTCCCATGCATTCCCAGACCCTTCGCTTCGGCAGACACCACCCGCCACCTCACCCTTCGGACTCCCTTCGCTCCCCCCAATCGCCACCTGACCCTTCGCTCCCCATCCTCGGCACTACCCAGCTTGCTATTTACAGTATGTACACTTTGTACAACCCCCGTTCTCTCCCCGCTATCCTATTCACATTCATGCAAATGTGACACACCACTCCATGCGCCTGTTGCAGTCTCTCTGACTGATCCCTCAGGGGGCCCAGTTCTTGCACGTTCCTCCACTGTTCTCCCGTGTTCGGCGGTTCCGTCTGGCTTACTGACAGGTCTTCACCCTCCCTCGTTCTCTACGAACTTGGTGAGTACCGCCGTCCTTCAGGATGCTGGGGTTGATACCTTTACCCCTGGAGGACAGCGTGTGGCGATCTGCACGTGTGCACGGACGGGCCATCACCTGGCCACGTTCACCCGTCGGCCTGGGTCGAGCCTGTACACACTGACTACTGAGCCCCCTGAGGTCGCTGCGTCTGGTCAGGTTTCTGTGTCAGGTCAGCTGTCAGCCCCTTGTTCGTGTCGCCTCCTTTCGCACCAGACTCTCCTCTGGCACCACCGCCTTGGTCACCCCTCCTTGCCACGCCTCCATGGCATGCACTCCCGCCTCTTTGTCTCTTTCCTCCCCAGGTCTCTGCCCCCCCTCCCGCGCTCGCCTGCCCCGTCCTGCCTTCCTTGCGTCGAAGGGCGGCAGCGCGCCGCTCCTCACTCCTCCTCGTTTCCCCCGACGACTGCTCCCCTGCAGACTCTCCACATGGACGTGTGGGGCCCAGCTCGTGTCAGTGGACAGGGCCGAGTGGTAATTTCTGCTGGTTGTTGACGACTACTCGCGTTACACCACGGTCTTCCCCTTGCGCAACAAGGGGGAGGTCCCAGATGTCCTGATCCCTTGGATCCGCGCTGTTCGTCTCCAGCTCCGCGAGCGGTTCCGCACGGACTTTCCTGTCCTGCGTCTACACTCTGACAGAGGTGGTGAGTTCTCCTCCGACCTCTTGCGGGACTTTTGTCACGGGGAAGGCATCCTCCAGTCGTTCACGCTTCCGGCCTCCCCGCAGCAGAATGGGATTGCTGAGCGCCGCATTGGCTTAGTCATGGAGGTCGCTCGTACCTCCATGATCCATGCGGCTGCTCCCCATTTTCTGTGGCCGTTTGTGGTCCGGTACGCTGCGCATCAGCTCAACCTCTGGCCCCATGTCTCCTTGCCGGAGACCTCGCCCACCCTGCGTTGGACGGGGAAGGCTGGCGATGCGTCGCGGTTCTGGGTCTGGGGCTCCCGTGCCTTTGTCCGCGATACCACCGCGGACAAGCTCTCCTCTCGCGCTGTTCCCTGCGTCTTCCTTGGCTTTCCCCCTGACGCGCATGGCTGGCAGTTTTACCACCCCACCTCGCGCCGTGTCTTCGCGTCCCAGGACGTCACCTTTGACGAGTCGGTTTTCTTCTACCGTCTCTTCCCCTACCGCACTGCCCCTCTCCCCCCCCCCCCGCCGCTCTTCCTCGCTCCAGGTCCCCCTCCGGTAGACCCCCTCCCCCCTCAGGGTCCTGCTCCTTCAGGTGTGTCTCAGGTAGACCCACTTCCCTTGGCTGAGCCTGTCGAGGTCACTGGTGACTCTGGTGCTGCTGGGGGTGGTACTGCTCGAGGTGCTGGGTCTGGAGGTGCTGCGCCAGCGGGTGCGGAGCCTGAGCGTGCGGAGCCCGGGGGTGCTGAGCTTGCGGGTGTGGAGCCTGGGGGTGCTGAGCCTGAGCGTGCAGAGCCTGGGGGTGCTGAGCCTGAGTGTGTGGAGTGCGCCTGAGGGTGCTGAGTCTGCGGGTGCGGAGCCTGGGGGTGCTGAGTCTGGGGGTGCTGAGCCTAGGGGTGCTGCGTCTTCACTACGGGAGCCTCTCTCACCACAGCAGCTGCGTGAGTGGCTTGCTCGACGCTCCCGCCTTCGGAGTGGTGCTGCTGGAGCTGGAGGCGCCGGAGCTGGAGGCTCTGGCACTCGCACTACTGGTCCTGGAGGTGCTCGTACTGGAGGTACTGGAGCTGTTGGGGCTGGTGGTGCTGGTAACCCTGGAGGTGCTGGAGGTCCTACTGGAGCTGGAGGTACTGGGGGTACTGGAGCTACTAGTCCTGGAGGTCCTACAGGTGCCTCAACACCACAGTCTAGTCAGCGAGAGCCTCTCTAACCACAGCAGCTACGTGAGTGGCTTCCTCGACGCACCCGCCTTCGGAGTGACGCTGCTGGAGCTGGAGGTCCTACTGCTGGAGGCGCTGGTGCTGGAGGCACTGGAGTTGGAGGCGCTGGAGTTGGCGACTCTGGAGATGGAGCTGCTGGTCCCGGAGGTGCTCGTACTTGAGGTACTAAAGCTGCCGAGGCTGGTGGTGTTGCGGACTCGAGAGCTGGTGGCGCTAGCGCTGGAGGCGCTGGAGCTGGAGGCACTGGCGCTGGAGGCGCTGGAGCTGGAGGTACTGGCACTGGCGGTGGAGCTGGAGGCACTGGCGCTGGAGGCGCTGGAGCTGGAGGCACTGGCGCTGGAGGCGCTAGAGCTGGAGGCGCTGGAGCTGGAGGCGCTGGCGCTGGAGGCGCTGGAGCTGGAGGCGCTGGAGCTGGAGACACTGGAGCTGGAGGTACTGGAGCCGGAGGCATTGGAGCTGGAGGCACTGGAGCTGGAGGCGCTGGAGCTGGAGGCGCTGGCGCTGGAGGCGCTGGAGCTGGAGGTGCTGGAGCTGGAGGTTCTGTGCAGCAGCGACCGTTCTTTGAGCTGCCGCCGCAGCTGTCTGAGCTTCCGCCCGAGTCGGTGCTCCGCAAGGTTCTTAGTCTTCCTTCGTACACTGCCCTTCCTCCTAGCTCGCCGCTGCCTGCCCCATCTTGTCGGTCTCCCTTACAGAGCGTCGTGAGCCTGCGTCTCGTCCTGTCTCCCCTGTTCGCGCTGGTCGCACCGCTCGTCGTGTCCCGCGTCCGCGTCCTCCTCCTGTGCCAGGTACTCACACTATGGCACTTCGTCCTTCCTCTGCTCCACAGCGCATCCCTCTGCCGTCTCCTCCTGCGTCCTCTCTTCCTGAGATTCCTGACCCTGAGTTTGACCATGTTCGTGCTGCTAGCCCTACAGTCACGCGTCTTCTAGCTACAATCGTCACTGACCCGTCGTTTGAGTCCACTACTGCGTCTGCCTTAGTTGCTGAGCTTGTCGACTTTGCTGCTGCGTGTCGTCTAGACTACGCCGCCAGTCTTGTTGCTGAGTCTGAGTCTGAGTCTGTCTGTCCTCCGTCTGTCGGGGGTGAGTGTGCTCTTGGCACGGATGTCCTTGAGGACAGGCAGGAGGACTTTGAGTCTCTTGCGGCTGCTGTACCTCATCTCGTGGCCTGGCTGCTTGCACCTGAGGGAGACCCGGATGCACTGGACATCCCGACCCCGCGCTCTTACGCAGAGGCGATTACGGGTCCCTACTCCTCTCAGTGGCAGACAGCCATGAACGCAGAGATGGCATCCTGGAAGTCCACAGGCACCTACGTTGACGAGGTTCCCCCTCCTGGGGCGAACATAGTCGATGGCATGTGGATTTTCAGGGTGAAGCGGCCGCCGGGTTCTCCGCCTGTCTTCAAGGCTCGTTACGTTGCACGAGGCTTCAGTCAGCGGCAGGGAGTTGACTTCTTCCAGACCTTCTCTCCTACCCCGAAGATGACCACTCTTCGGGTACTGCTGCACGTTGCCGCTCAGCGTGACTACGAGCTTCACTCTCTTGACTTCAGCACAGCGTTCGTATAGGGAAGCCAGCACGATGAGATTTGGCTGCGCCGCCCACCTGGCTTCACTGGGTCGTTCTCTCCTGGTACCCAGTGGAGCCTCCGGCGGCCAGTCTACGGTCTCCGCCAGGCGCCTCGTGAGTGGCACAACACACTGAGGACGACACTTGCGGCTCTTGGGTTTGCTCCCTCCACTGCTGACCCGTCGCTGTTTCTTCGCACCGACACTTCGCTGCCGCCATTCTACATCCTCGTGTACGTCAACGACTTGGTCTTTGCCACTACTGACACTGAGGCACTCGCCCTTGTGAAGTCGGAGCTGCAGAAGAGACACACGTACACAGACCTGGGTGAGCTGTGCAGCTACCCGGGACAGAGCACGCCTCACCATTACACTGACCCAGTCACACATGGTGCAGCAGATCCTTCAGCGCTTCGACTTCCAGTACTCCTCACCACAGTCCACTCCTCTGTCTACACGTCACTCGCTCTCAGCTCCACCTTCGGACGAGTCCGTAGAGCCGAGTGGCCCGTATCCAGAGCTTATGGGCTGCCTCATGTACCTGATGACCTGCACTCGACCTGACCTTGCGTACCCTCTTAGCATCCTAGCTCGCTACGTTGCGCCTGGGAGACACCGGCGAGAGCACTGGGAGGCTGCTAAGAGGGTGCTGCGCTACTTGTGCAGTACATCAGGCATGGGGCTGGTGCTTGGAGGACGGGGTGACATTGTCCTCACTGGACACTCAGACGCCTCTTGGGTTGACGACCTGGCTACGCAACGGTCGTCACAGGGTTACACCTTCAGCCTTGGTTCCGGCTCTGTCTCTTGGCGGTCTACCCGCTCTTCTTCTGTTCTCAGCTCTAGTTGTGAGGCTGAGATCTACACCACAGCCATGGCTGCACAGGAGTTACGCTGACTCACCTACCTGTTGACTGACTTGGGAGAGCGGCCTCGTTTTCCTCCAGTTCTGTACGGCGACAACAAGGCAGCCCTTGCCTTGTGTCAGGAGCACAGACTGGAGCACAGAACGAAGCACATCGCTCTGCGTTACTTTCTTGCTCAAGAGATGCAGCAGCGTGGCCAGCTTCGTCTTGCTTACGTGGACACGCGGGTCAACACTGCTGATATATTCACCAAGGCACTTCCGCCTAGTGATCATCAGCGGCACTGCACTGCTCTAGGCCTCGTGCCTACGTTCTCTCACTTGCTCACTGCTTGACCTTGCTTGTACTGTGATCTTTATATATACCTGCATGCTTACACTTGCTAGGTAGTGATCACTGTACTGTTTGCTCTCTCTTATATAACAATGCATGTGAACTGGCCCTGTGGCCTTTTGCTTGTGCTCGGAGTGTGTGGTGACGTCGTGATCCACCCTGAGCTTGCTTTGCTTTTCTTGACTGGTCTTGTGACCACTAGTTCTCCCCCACTTTGCCTATGGGGGTGTGTTAAGCTGTAATGGACTTAGTTGTTTGTAGGCTGTAGTGGGGTAGCTTACATGGGGTACAAGTTTCTAAGGTTCCTATTTGTATCCCAACTGCTTCTAGTCCTACCATTCCTAGTCTAACATCTGAACATATTTCTCAACCGACCACTTCGCAGCCCACCAAGTTTATCGCACAGCGTCAGTAAACTACCCAGGAAACGAGAGTGTAACCTAGGAAAGTAGCTCTGATGCAAAGTGTTATGGGTTGTCAATAAGAAGAGTGCACAGAATGTAATATCGCGGAAGTGATTACTACAAATGATCAGATAATGAGACCTAGCATTCATGTAGCGAAGGCTAGCTAGGCTGAGGCCGCAGGACCGCACATGGTCGGGTGCAAGTTTGGGGTTGGAAAATCCGAAGGCGACGTGAAGGAGGTTTGAAGGGCGAGGTCATGAGACCGAGCCAGGAACTCCGAAAGTTGGAGTTGTACGCGCATAGGGTGGCTCAGTAAGGAATTAGGCAAAATTCCTTACAGTTATGAATGAAATTACAGAGTGCGCAGATAAAACGAATATCTAAACAGTGACTAACTGAATTAGATACAATAAAAAGTGGCGGGGTTGAATAGGAGGAATCCTAGCTAGGTGGGGACGTCGGGCGAAGATGGGTCAGAGGGATTGCGATTGGTGCGGAGGCGACTCGGGAGTGGTTTGGGGCGACGAAATAGGCCGAACCGAATTGACGCGTGTCCCTCGGGATATACTTGCTAAAGTGCGAGTACAGTAAGGAATTGTAATTCTTTACACTTTCCCACCTTCCAAATATTGCAGCGCTGTACTTAGAGAGTCCAATACTAGCGAGGATGCCAATAACCTGTAATCGAAGTGAATCTGAGTGTTGGGATTGGCTTCAACCAAATTGAAATTGAAGGTTGGAATGTAGGCTGTTGATGAATGTAGATTGCGATTTGACGTCTGCTAAAGGCCTTGAACAAATGGAAGTGAAAGTTGGAATTGAAGTCGTTGATGAAATCCGAAGTCGATCTGACGGTCGAAATGGGCGATATTTTGGCAAAAACTTGCTAACACATATTTCAAACGCGATTGAGCAAGGATCGTTTATTTCGTTGGTGCGATCGCGGTCGTACTGACAGTACACATGCACTTGGGATCCCTATGTCCAACAATATTTCATATGTGGTGATATGCTGTAGTGGGGCTACTCTTAGAGGAGATACAGTTCTAGAGTTTCATATTTGTATCACATCTTCCTAGTTCAATCTATTCCGATGTTCTCATTTCTTGATATGGTATTATTCGCTAGGTTAGGTCCGTACCTACCACTCACCCGTGATTGCCCCTCGTGTGCCTGCCTGCACTCTGCCCCGCGCCGTCACGCTGCCTTGTCCCGCGCCCTCGCAAACTGCTGCCCTGCGCCCCGCACGCCCTTCTGCCCTACGCGCCCCTCGCGCCCTGCTGCCCTGCGCACCTCGCGCGCCCTACTGTCACGTGCGCCCCGCGCGCCCTGCTGCCTAGCGCCCCGTGCGCCCTGCTGCCCCACATGCCCTGCGCGCCCTGCCGCCTTGCGTGCCTCGCGCGCCCTGCTGCCCTGCGTGCCCAGCGCGCCCTGCTGCCCCACGAGCTTCGTGCGCCCTGCTGCCCTGCGCGCCCTACGCGCCCTGGTGCCCCGCGCGCCCTGCTGCCCTGCGCCCCGCGCGCCCTAGATGCACGGCGTGGGTGCTTCTGGCGATGATGCAGAGTTGCCCTCGATTTGGAGGTGATGCAGCTAGATGTAAAGAACGCATTCCTCTATGGCGTGCTGGACCGATACCTTTACATAGAGCAGCCGAGCTACTATGAGGATGGGACTTCTTGTATCCATAAGTTGTTGTAGTGGTCTGTATGGCCTCAAGCAAAGCCCGATGCTGTGGTATGAGGCCTTTAATAGGGTCTTGCTTGGGGCTTGATGGAAGAAGAGCCACGTGGATGAGGCTTTGTATTTCAAGAGTGATGTTGAGAGGGACATGTGTTGGCTGCTGGTGTATGTGGATGATTTGCTTGCTGCCAGCCACAGTCAGACCATGCTGGAGGAGCTCCGTGACCTGCTGCATGTCAGTGATAACGGACTGGAATGGTGAACTAGAAAGGATTGTGAGTACAAATATGAAACCCTAATGTTGTGACCCCCCTATAGGCTAACCCACTACAGCCTACACAAACACAACATATATAATGTTTGACACACCCCCATAGGCAAAGTGGGGGAGACCTAGGGGTCACAAGACCAGTCAAGGCAAAGCAAGGCAACAACAAGCTCAGGGTGGATCTCAAGGATACCACACAAATTCCGAGCACAAGCTAGTGGTCACAAGACCAGTTCACATGCAGGTTTATAACAGAGCATGAGATACAGTGATCACAACCTAGCAAGAGTAAACATGCAGGTAGATATATATATATATATAGTGATCACAGTACAAGCAAGGTCAAGAGGTAAGTAAGTGAGGTCCAGTAGGCACAAGGCCTAGCAGAGTGCAGAAGCGCTGATGGTCACAAGGCGGAAGCGCCTTGGTGAACACATCAGCAAGGTTGGCCTCAGTGGCCACGTAACGCAGACAAAGCTGACCGCGCTGCTGCAGCTCTCGAGCAAGGAAGTACCGCAGGGCGATGTGCTTCGTTCTGTGCTCCAGTCTGTGCTCCTCACACAAGGAAATGGCAGCCTGGTTGTCGACGTACAGCACTGGAGGAGAACGAGGCCGCTCACCCAAGTCGGTCAGCAGGTAGGTCAGCCAGCGTAGCTCCTGGGCAGCCATGGCTGTGGCGTAGATCTCAGCCTCACAACTGGAGCTGAGAACAGAAGAAGAGCGTGTAGAACGCCAAGAAACTGAGCCGGAGCCAAGGCTGAAGGTGTAACCCTGAGACGACCGCTGAGTAGCCTGGTCGTCCGCCCAAGAAGCGTCTGAGTGTCCAGTAAGTACAACTTGGTCTCGCCCTCCAAGCACTAGCCCCATGCCCGACGTACTGCACAAGTAGCGCAACACCCTCTTAGCGGCATCCATGTGCTCCTTCCTGTGACGGCCAGGAGCGACATAGCGTGCAAGGATGCTAAGAGGGTATGCAAGGTCAGGTCGAGTGCAGGTCATCAGGTACATGAGGCAGCCCACAAGCTCTGGATACGGGCCACTCGGCTCTACAGACTCATCCGAAGGCAGAGCTGAGAGCGAGTGACCGGTAGGCAGAGGAGTGGACTGAGGCGAGGAGTACGTGAAGCGGAAGCGCTGAAGGATCTGCTGCACCATGTGTGACTGAGTCAAGGTGATGGTGCGCCGTGCTCTGTCCCGGGTGATCCGTAAGCCAAGATAGCTTGTCAGTTCACCCAGGTCTGTACACGTGTGTCTCCTCTGCAGCTCCGACTTCACGTGGGCAAGTGCCGCGGTGTCAGCAGTGGCAAAGACCAAGTCGTCGACGTACACGAGGATGTAGAACGGCGGCAGTGAGGTGTCTGTGCGTAGAAACAGTGACGGGTCAGCAGTAGAGGGAGCGAACCCAAGAGCCGCAAGTGTCGTCCTCAGTGTGTCGTGCCACTCACGCGGTGCCTGGCGGAGACCGTAGACCGGCCGCTGAAGCCTCCACTGGGTACCAGGAGGAACCGACCCAGTGAAGCCAGGAGGGCGGCGCAGCCAGATCTCCTCGTGCAGGCTGCCCTGCAAGAAAGCAGTGCTGAAGTCAAGTGAGTGAAGCTCGTAGTCGCGCTGAGCGGCTATGTGCAGCAGCACCCGAAGAGTGGTCATCTTCGGGGTGGGGGAGAAGGTCTGAAAGAAGTCAACTCCCTCTCGCTGACTGAAGCCTCGAGCCACGTAGCGCGCCTTGAAGACAGGAGGAGAACCCGGTGGCCGCTTCACCCTGAAAATCCACATGCCACTGACGATGTTCGCCCCAGGTGGGGGAACCTCGTCGACGTAGGTGCGTGTGGACTTCCAGGAAGCCATCTCTGCGTCCATGGCTGTCTGCCACTGAGAGGAGTAGGGACCCGCCATCGCCTCAGCGTAAGTGCGCGGGGTCGGGATGTCTGGTGCATCCGGGTCTCCCTCAGGGGCAACTAGCATGGACACGAGGTGGGGTAAAGCAGCAGCAAAGCACTGGAACTCCTCCTGTCTGTCCTCAAGGACGTCCGTGCCAAGAGCACACTCACCCCCGACGGACGGAGGACAGACAGACTCAGACTCAGACTCAGCAACAAGGCTAGTGGCGTAGTCTAGACGACACCGGGCAGCAAAGTCTATCAACTCAGCGACTAGAGCAGACGCAGCAGAGGACTCAAAGGCAGGGTCAGTGACAACAGTAGCGAGGAGACGGGTGACAGTGGGACTGGCAGCACGACGGGAGTCAGACTCCGGGTCAGGAAGAGTAGGCAGAGAGGAAGCAGGAGGAGACGGTAGCGGGACACGCTGAGGAGCAGTGGAGGGATGCAGAGTCATGTAGTGAGTG